AGGGACACAATACTGTCCATAGCTGTATCTTTTATTTCTTAGGGTGACGAAATACTCAAACGTTCAGAGACTACATCACCAATACTGATTCTGAAGGAAATATCTGGGCAAAGGTTCTAACCAAATCACAACTGAATCAGCAGAGATCATACCCTGGAGGAACATGAAAAGCAGACAGGAATGAGTAGTAAACAGTGCGCATGCTTTAAATCTAAACCAGTGGCAATACTGTGGTAATGGATATGCGATCTAGAAGAAGTATGTTTCAAAAGAAAACTGACCAAAAAATATCACCAAAAGACCTCACTAAGCAAGCCCCACAAAGTTAATATATAAATGCCTGGGAGAAGGAAAAGCCAGGAAACATTTTAAAGGTCTCATTTAGTGAGACAGTTATTTTTAACTTGAGAAGATAATTTCAAATATTCCTTTGTTTCTTCTTATTTTGGGGAAATATATTTCATAAAAACCCATATATTATCGACATTAAAAAATACTGTATATCAATATAAAAAATACCATACCAGCCAGGCGATGTGGTGGTGAAGGCTCCCAAGCCCTCATGGCTGACTGCATAATCAAAGTCCCAGAACTGGTGGCTTTAAAAACCATACAGGGCACATGTGAATATGTGCCCAAAATCCTGAGAGGAGAATGAAGTAAAGGGAGTGCACTGACATGCTCCCTGGGAGGTGCTTTCTCATTGTCTCTCTCTGTCCCTCTCCAATGAATGCATGTGCTTAGAGCAAATTTTAAAAAGATATACGTTACCCAAGTCACATAGGTGAGTCTACCCAGCATCCTTCATCACACCTTCATAGCAAAGCAGATATTTTGTTCTGTTACGCAGCAGTTGGGAGCAGACGGCCCTTGCTGTGAACCAGTGCCTTTGTGCTTGGTATACCACAAACTCCTGGGTGCAGTGTGTATTTTTTACTTCTTCCAATTAGTTGCCCACCACATATAACACCCCAGGACACTCCCATATTCTAGCATTTAATGTCCCCTTGCACATCATAAAATAATTAGAAATTATTATTTTTATCTGTTGAACATCTGTATAACTCATCAAGGTAAGTGTTGCATGAAAATTTCAGGGATAATCATTTCAGTCTTCTTGAAATTGTTCCTAAGAGCATAAACTGCTTATTGTCATCTTTTTCGAGGGAACAGGAAGATATAAATTGAATGTAGTTTGCCCAAACCATATATAATCTAAAATCAAATTATTAGATTGAGCTTCTTAATCTATTTATGCTTTGTGAAATCTATGAATTCAGTAAGAAAGAAGAGTTGAACCAAAGAAAGAAATTCTGAAACCACGGGTAGGAAAAAATCTGTGCACCTCTGAGAGTTGAAAAAGAAATGTAATTTCTTTGTAATGGAATGTAAGCCAAAGAAATGCAGAATTATTTGGTTGTCCACAATGATACCTGCTAATATTAAGCAGGCATGAGCATGCAGAGTAAATGCCGTGAACTGAATCGTCTCCCACTCTGCCCACCCCACATATTGAAGTGCTAACACCCACCGTATGTACAGGTAAGTCTTTCGGGAGATGGTGAAGTTCAGATGAGGCCATGAGGATGGGACACTCACGATGGGATGAGCACCCTTTAAGAGAAGACGACAGAGTGTGTGTGCTATCTCTCTATGTCTCTCTTTCTCCCCAGGTACATGGACCAAAGAAAGGTCATGTGAGCACAGCAAGAAGATGGCCATTTGTCAGTCAGGAAGAGGACCCTCACTACAGCCTAATCATGCTGCAAGACTCACATCCTCCAGAACTGTAAAAAATAAATTCTGGTTGTTTAAGCTACTCCATCTATGGAATTGTGGTACAACAGCCCAAGAGGATTAAAACAATATGTAAATAGCTATAAATGCAATGGTCCGAGGACAAGCTCATCTCTTCTAACACTTCCGTGTCGTCCTGGGCTACGTATACATGTTTCTCTTATAACAAACACACCATTTCATTGGGGCTTATAATTTAATTTAATATTCATAAAGCAAACATTCTCAACTGGGGGCAATTTTGCCCCAGAAGACATCTGGCAAGGTGTGAAGGGTACCACTGGCATCTGGTGGAAAAAGCGGGGTAC